GGTCTACCTGTGTAGTCAAACTGCTAAAAGAGCACGGCTGGACTGTCCTGACATTAATTCTGCAAGTTTTGCTGGAAGCATGGGCCAACATGGAAAAATATCCAGCCGGCATCAAGTTGCAAGCGTACAGCAAAAAAGGCCAGCCAGAAATCCAATATCCCAATGACCCTCTCCTTCAGAAGCCCCTGGACGTGGACAGAAGCAAAAGACTCGCTACACTAGCTGTGAGACTAGAAAATCTAGATCTAAACGGGAAGGATAAAGGCCTGTTTGCATTGAAGGCTTCCAAAGCTCGACACAGCTTGACACGGATGCCCCTTGCCGACTCTCGACCCCAAAGTCAGTTCTGTCCCTAGGCCCCTAAAATCCCCTAGATACTTCTAAGCCCTCAACCCTGAGCCTCTTTGCTACAGACATGAGCCATAGGATTTCAACGACGGAAACAACTGAGCATCCTCAACCTGAAGCCAAAAGCCGAACTCTAATGCCTCAGATCTCAGCATAACGGCGGCAATGTGCAATAACAATCCTGAAATGGCTACACGTAACCTTGCTACACAACTTAAACCTAAAGCAAACGACAACGGGTGGTGCCACGTGACTCATCGGTTCTCAACGAACGAAGCATAAGTCAGCATATGGCCAGCAATACATCTGCTATGGACAATACTTGCGGATCCACTCAGCAGTCGCGGCGCCTCGTCCAACAAATCCGCCCACCGGCAGTGGTGGAAGGTGTTGATCCTTATGCGCAGCAATACAGTAGCCGCTGCACAAATACATCACTTGCGCGTGTCTACTACTCAGTTACTACTCACCACTCACACTGACATAGACTCAGATAGGCACAATGCAGACAAAACCTGGTATGCCTGGTTCTGACAGTCGCCCTTCATCTCAGGAGGCCGTGGAAGAAAGCCTTCCTAGCCTTCCTTTTTCGCTTGCTAAACAAGTTGTTGAGCAAGCCAAAAAGTTCGAAGTCTTGGAACGCATGTCGTTAGGAAAGTGAGAACGTGGCTGACAGCAGCGAAGGCAGACAGGCTGGCTTGACTCAAGATCACCGGTCCAGGACATGCATGCAATAATTTATGCAACCATGTACGTCAAGATGCCAAACCCAAGCAATTTACACAACCATTTACATAAGTCATCTGTTACATGCAACGTCTAATTTCCCCTCAAATAAGAGGTCAAGCTGTGAAATAACTCATCATCGTCATCACCGACATCATCACCGGCAAGGTCCTCAGAAGCGCATATACTCGGCATACATTTTTTATGATGGGTCGGAAGTAGGGGAGGTGGCAGAGGGAGTGAACAACAGCAACATCAGCATCATCAGCACCGTCAGCCAAGCCAGAACAACAAAGCACTGGAGAGCATCGTCAACATCGTCGCCGTACTCTTCATCATTCATCGTCAGCAGCAGCATCCCTCCTCATCACCATTGGCATGTGGATGCATGTGGGATGTACCTGCGACGTGTTGAGGACTTTACAGAGATTTCGGGGAGTGCGCACACCGGTACAAGGCAACTGCGCCAAACGTCACCATGCGCTCCCTCGAACTCTTGGGATCTGGCCATGGCGTTTTACACAAAGGTCCTCGCGCAAACTCTGTTGACAACGAGCCAAAGGCTACTCAAGACTATGATGGTTTACACCAAGTGTCAGGCCCTTCGGATCCAATATGATCTTGTTGCGAAGGACCTGGATCCAAGCAGATAGCTTTCACTATTCAAGGTTTGGGCTGTGGGTAAGTGAGAGGTTTACCGTTAGCATTACCAAGTTCATACAGGGAGTTTGGCAGCCTCTGAACCTCTGGATCTGGGGGCTCCAGAAGGGAAAGCACCGCAAAGAGCCCGCGTGAGGGCTAATTGCAGTAGCTTGAGGGCCGGGCAATGCCAAAGCCTTGCTGAATGCAAGGTGCGTGGTGCGCAAAGGCTCAAATCAGACTCAGTGCCTACGCAACGGATGCAACTTGTGATACTTGTATCATGCTCACAACGCGCAGGTGTATTAGACACTCCAGAACTTGTGCTGGTTGGATCTACGGACCTAGGCGGCATCAAGAACAATCCCACAATCTTGATGCACAATGCCGTGCTGCCACATCACAACATCTTCCAGTGCCCAGCATCGCTCTGGCTTGATGTTGTAGATACCTGCTTGCTGCCAGCCCTTGTCTTGGCTTTCTTGCTGTCGTTGCAGGGCAGAATCTGCATTCGCCGCTTCATGTTGGATGACTGTGGGAACCTGTCCCACCAGTCTTTAGTGTCAGGATGCACGCGGAACGCTTGAATCGCCTGTTTTTCGGCTGTTGAAACATCGGGCTTCCATTCCGAGAAATAGTCTTTCCCATCAAAAACCAACTTGATCATCCACAGCTCACCGGTCGTCGTGCGTTGCGAGAAGCGCTCAAGGCGAGCAGCCAAGACAGTTGCATCAGCGGTCTCATCTTTCCACCACTTCAACCGCCTCAGTGCTAGCACGATCAAGACACATAGAGTCGACACGCGCGCAAGGAAGGCAGCGCACAGCAAAGCAACGGCTAAGGCCCACTCATGTTGAATTCGCCCAAGAAGGCTTTCGGAGAGAAAATCTCCATAGCTCTAGCACTGCGCTCGTGGGGTAAGGTAGCGGGTAGCTCTGACAGTCTAGCAGTGCGGTCTGCTGCAAGGACATGGGTACGTGTTGCCAGCAAAGGTGTTGGCAGCCGTTGCGGAATTTGACTGACCATGGCATGGTGGCTACATCACATAACCAACAACTCCTGCGTTCGAGAATGGAGCGACAGCAGAGCGCAGCTGCATGGCCAAATTGCAGAGGAAAGCACCACAAATCTGAGCGCAACACCGCTGTGGTCTCGACATTGCTTGCCTGCGCATCGGGCCCTTGCAAACATGCCTCACACCGCTTCTGCAGCACCCTCCGCGTCATAACCCCCGCGCCACCCCTCCCACCCCCCTCCCCCTTCCCGCCTCCCACTTCCTCACCAAATCCGCAAAATTCTTTTGTTTCAGAATTGTCCAGTCTGCGCCCCAGATAATCTGCAATGCAGATGCCAGCAAACATAGGCGTCTAAAGAGCACAGCTCTGCATACTGTAAACAACCACCATTGCTGCTGTGGATACCAGATTGAATATACAAGGTGTAAACGCATAGTGGGCACAATGCGTGCAATTGGCATGGTTGGTATCCTTGGTGTATTGGCTATAAGAGGTATAGTGAGTCCCTGCCTGGCCCGAGCCATCCAGGTATCCATGGCCCTCGAAAGTTGAGTCTGCCTTCGAGTCTTGGGTACTGAAGCCTACGGCACCCCTGCGCAGCAGAATATCTTTACATACGGGGCAACTACCTATTGCTGAACTCCAGTTTAGACATCCTGCATAGCTGCCAGGTTTACTTCCCGGAACTATCCCATCTTCATTTGCTTTCAGGTCGGATTCTAGGGTGATATCATGGGGATATTCTCCACTACCCCGTTTTGCAGAATCCAATCCGTCACAACACGACAGTTTGCAAGCATAGGCTTCGCGAAAGCCGTGGAGATGCTGACAGGCTGACAGGTCTGGCTTTTAATACTTCCAGTACTTCATCATCATCACCATCATCATCATCATCATCCGCATCAAATTGCCTAAACAAATCAGTACATATGCATGTTTATGGATCCATATATTCATAGTTATTGATCTCTATATAAATATGCATATATATACACATATATACATATATGCTCACACCCCCCCCTCCCCCCCCCAAGACCTACCGCGAGGTGCTTCGGCTAGCAATGGGTAGGACATGTAATGACTTTGGGAAACTATAATACATGATTTACTACTAATCACGTTCGAATAAAATCACATACCAATGTACCAACATACCAATATAGTAATATACTAATACACTCACATGCTAAGATTCCAATTTCCCCATAGACCTACAAATATAGAATATATTAGATATGATACTATAAAGGGGTTAATACTAGTACTAGGTATAAGACAGAGGCTAAGACCAAGACCAATACGAATACTAACACTAACACTAAACATTAACACTACCATTCGTACACATGTGATATAGACTGATATTAAGACTACTACGAACGCTGACATTGACATTGGCATTGACATTAACACTGACACCAACACTAACACTAACACTAACAGTAACACTAATCAACACGAACAATACCATTAAGTTTACTACCCGTGTGAATGCTACGAATATTAATACTAACACAAAACAAATACTGACGGTTAAAACCACTAATGTTAGCCTTATTACTAAGACTGAGACTAAGATTAAGATAAAAACTAAGACTAAGACTGGCAAATACAATCACATGCTGCGCGCTGTATTGGCTCTAAGGTTTAGAGAACCAAAAATCCAAAACACCAAAACCTTTCTGAGGGGCCCGAAACTTTTGGATTTTTTGGTTTTCCTAGGGTTTGTGGTTTTCCAACAGAAATCCAAAAAAAAAACACAAGGTGTTTTTGTTGGTCTTCCAGTAGAAATCTCAAAAACACTCGGTTTTTTTGGCTTTCCGCCAGAAACCTAACAAAAAAACAAAAAACATCTTATGTTTTCTGGCTTTCCACCTAAAATCCAAAAAAAGATTATTTTTGTAGGAAGACCAAAAAAACCCTAGGAAACCCGAAAAACCCAAAAGTTTCGGACCCCTCAGAACGGTTTTTCGATTTTTAGATTTTTAGTTTTTGGTTTCCGCCGAAGGCATCAGAAAACCCAAAATCCAAAACATTTCTGAGGGGCTCGAAACTTTTGGATTTTTTGGTTTTCCTCGAGTTTTGGTCAACACAAGGTGTCTTCGGTTTTCCAATGGAAAACAAAACAACACCGGTTTGCTGCATACTCAGGTCTGGTCCAACATTTAACTTCAATACGTGTGCCTGCTTATGATGATGACTATCTCCAGCTATTTGGTTCAGTAAAGGAGTAATACCCAGAGCTCCACTGACATGCCGATTCCACAGCTATGTAGAATATCGTTGTTTGGTTATACTATGCCAGTGCAGCCATGCAGCAGTGTCCACCACGGTGCGCGTGATCTTGGGTACCTTGATGATCTTCTCCTCCACAGTGATCTTCGGAACCTCCACCACCTTGACCACCACTTGAGGCTGCGCGACCTCGACGACAACCTCTAAAGGATTTTGGATTAGTCTTTGTTCTTCACGGATGATGGGGATGTGCACGATCTTCTCCACCTGGTCACCGCAAACAACTGACTGGCATCAGCGAAACAACGCATGAAAGCAGCTGAACGTTGCAGCCACGGAGCGCGAGACTTGATCGGTATGTCAACCCACTCTTCTACGTGGAAATTTGTCGCCGGCTCCTGCTCCATGACCTTTGGAACGTGCACGACCTCCTCCTGCGTTATCACCAATTGGAAAGCTGACACATGCAGCACGTGCAAGCGACTCGGATGTGGAGTTTCAACTGGCCGAAGTGATTTGGTCCTGATTAACTGCAAATGCTGCATCCTGTCATGAGTTTACACAAGCGAATACGCACCAACTCAAGATTGGAAGCAGCATTAGGGAGCTGCAACTCGCGTCGCGATCCATAAATGAGGTCGTGCGATCAAGTACCGTACACCTTATACCGCATTTATGCCTCGCAATGAGCAGAACTGCAGGACCACCGCAAGCACCAGGTTATGAGAAGCCTGATTTCTAGAAGTGAGCTTTCAAGGCTGAAACGGACGCAAGTTATGAATGCAGCTTTCATTAAATAAATCAAACGTGCGAACGACTGCGCCACAGAAGACTTGCTGAGTGCATAGTCAAAGTTCTTTCTACAGCTCTCTGCATTGTCAGTGTCTTGGACCAACCATGATTCAAGGAAAGGCACTCTCTTGGCTTAATCTTGTGACTTCTATGTGCATGCACCTTCATTGGACCTGACGAGTTTCTAAACCAATGCATGCCTTCATGCGACTTCGATCAACATGTTTCAGCTTTCGGCCTTGTACGAAATTTTCCGAATATCCATACACATTAATGGCGAACTAGATACGTCTGAGAGCTTCTAAGTCTGAAACTGTCCTGAGGAAACGTTGCATTCCGACGTGGATGTCAAAAACTACTGCACAATTGCTGTCCTTGATGGGGACGGGTACCTCCACCATCTGAATTTCCACAAGTTTCTGCGACTGCCATGCTTTACTGCCGCTTTTTTTGCTTTTGCTCCTGCCTCCTCCACAGGTGTTTGCAGAACACGGCGCTGCTGACGATTACGACTGCTACTGCTACTGCTGTTGCTGTTACAAAAACTACTACTACTACTGCTGCTACTTTTGCTACTACAATTACTTCTTCTACTCCTATTTCTACCATTTATTGCTCGTTACAAGCAGCTGTAATACTGCGTACTCGTACAAGTGCTACAGGGATGGGCAGATAGAAGTCCTGATTATGCGCCTCCACTCGAAGAATCATGTTTTTTTATTGTTGAATTGGTGTTAAATTTTGCTTGGAGTGCAAAACAAAATCGTTCGAAGCTCCAGCCGGCAGACGATCCCCAAGCACGCGAAGCTTTTTACAAATTGTCACAATGCCCAGCTAGCAGGCGAAAAAACAACACAAATCGATCCTTCCAGCCAGGATCGAGCCGGTGCGAGTTGGTGATGCGGAATGCGTACAGAAGCTTGCACTTCATGGAAATATGAGGGTGAAAATGCAAAGAACACCATGCCATATGCGTGGCCCAACATGTAAGGTGAGTGCTCTTGCACCACTGGAACCTTTGCCAAAAAACAGTTAACAGAGAAATAGAAGGGCCATGTCTCAACATTATTGGTTTGAGTCCGTGACGTCTCGATTTGCTCAACATGCGCCTGCACAGGCCGCGCCAAAAAGCAGTTGTCAGCGGATTTCAGCGAGCTCGTGGGCCTTTGGGGATCCGATGTCAAACAGGGAAGACGGACTTGCCGCCACGCTCCTTCAGGTGTGTCGTGGTTCTTTCAGTAAAATCAGAAGCAGTCCGGCCTCCCACAAAGCAATAAGGTCTTGAACAGCAACCATTGCCTTGCAAGGGTAGTCCACTTTAGATGTCAAGCTCGTATGCAAGTACTAGCACCTATCAGAACAGGGCTGAAAGTTTTAGCGTGGTGATCACTCAAGCAATGAAGCAACTGATGACCCGACGTCGCACATGTGTTACTTTGCTTTCGTGGTTCTACTACTGCACTTGACCTTGCCGTTATGGCACCTCAGCGGAATCGAGCGCGGTGCCAATGTCTGGGTATGAAAAATGTGGTCAGCTGCATGAACTACTTTGGTGGAAAATTAAATGCTGCCAGTGCAAAGCAGAGGCCGCACCTCGACCAAGCGCTGCGCCTGACATACGATGCAGCAACATAGTGCACAACAAGGAAGGCTTCAGCATCCCGACCGAGCATCGCTCCAGGCCTAAGACAGGCAGAAAGCAAATTCGCTGAAGAGCTGAGGAGTCCTGTGATAAGCATTCAACCAGAGGATGGACCACTCCACTTGCACCAAGCGGATCAGACAGTCGACAGGAGAACGCCAAGGACGTACATGACTCAGTGAGTGAAAGTCCCCTTCCGTCGATCGACCCCACACGCGCAATGCCCAATTTAGGTGTAAATGCTGCTTCAGACTTCCGCGTGAGTGTCTGCAAAAGAAAGTCACTGCCAAGTGGAAGACTATATCCGACCATAATCTGAAGCCATCACACAAGACCAAGACTAACCCAGCTCTAATGTGCGATGCATTGCGCTCCGAGGTCATCGCGGAGAAGGAGGCGCCCAGCGGCTTCATATCATTTCCAGCAGAGAAGCCGACAAGTTTAAGGCAATTTCTCATTAACCGGGATAATTGTCCTATGGGGCTGTTGCCTGTAAGATGGCTGCTCCCGAAAATTCATGCAGCCGTCGCACTGTGCTTGCACTTGCCCCATGGGCAGTCCAGCATGTGTGGAGGCCACAGGAGCCAGAGCTGACCTCCAGTTTTGGGGATCGCATTCTGTATTCATTCATAAAATGTGCAGGAGTACGACGGGAACGTGCTCTCCACGCCCTGCCACCTGAGAAAATGCTATAAGCTGGATGCACCCATGTACACAGACTGCGACATGCGTCGGCGGATCATCTGCCGGATATGCGTATACATGCTAGCTGCAACACGTGATTGCCGCCCATGGCAGCGCCCAAGGTTCGAGGGCAGATTTCATTGGTCTGGCGCGCACCATTGGGCTGTCTCTAAACCTACCCAGCCTGCGTCGAAGCCGTCCACCAGCTCTCTCGTTCCAGTGCCATGTCTGCATTTAATCGGGGGAGAGTCCAGAGCACCTGCTGGTGAAAGGATCAAAGGCCTCGTCAACAGAGGGTTCCTCTTCCGAAGAGACGACCTGGGCTTCAAGTGCCCTGTGATCCAAGTGCAGATGGTGCCTGTGATGATGCGGATGCGGAGGAAGGCTGAGAGGGCCAGAGCAAGTTCGGGTTTGCCGCGTTTCTACAATCTCTGTGCATGGCAGTCTGAATATTGACAAAGACCCCCAACGAGCTAAACACATGTCGGGGAAAGTGCTGACGCAGAAGGGAAGGGCTTGGTGGCCTTATATGCTTCTTCTAATGGTGACAGCCATGCAACAGACAAAGCGTCAGATGCCACAGGAGAACTCTGCAGAAGGCGGTGGGCGATCTGCTCGGCATCTTGGCAGGAGAAACGTCACCTGTGTTTGCTGCTGCCAAGACACTTGGAAAAGGCAGAGGGGTAAGCTTCAGCCAAGTAGAAACGACCATCTTGGAACCCAACTAACGGTGGATGGAACCATGAGGGCAGCAGCCGAGAATGGACCCGTACCTGCAGAGCTGTGTGCCATGGACCGCCATATCCGGGGCCGTATGCATGGTGAGCTCCTGCGTATCCTGACCCGAAAGCCCATAATGAGCCGCCATGGCACTGTCATGTCCCCGGACAGCCCTTACATACTCCACATTGTCCTCGGTCATGATCTGGAATCTCTTCTTCTTGTTGACTGCAACCGCCGTTCTGATTTCCGTTGGGCTGACCCGCACGTTCCTCAGAACTGGCGCCTTAATCAGGTCCCGCATAGGCACATATTTAGCCTGCCCGGTTCATAGGGAGCCTGTGAGCTGGCGCTTAGATGAGTTTCTCTCTGTCTCTCGGCAACGGCATCTGGACGACGAGGAGGCTTCCGCGCTCTTGTTTCTGGTCGGCTTGTCTAACTTTGCCCGCTTTCTGTCTTCGGCTTCCATCTGCTTGTAGTCTGGCTTCCTCTTTCTGGGTACTGGAGGAGATGTAGATGGTTCCTTCACTACCAATTGTCCTTCGGTTTGCTTGGTATGTCCCGCCTTGTTGAGCGGCTCTGTGCCCGTTCTCTAGAGATCGCATTTCTTCGACCTCCTCTCGAAGCCGTCTGAGCTCCCCTGTCGGCTCTTCGCCACTCTTCCGCAGGCGTGAAGGCAGTCGCCTTCCGCTTCGAAGCTGGGCTAGACACCATTGTGCGAAGCCAGCTGCTAGTTGCGGGAAGGGACTTAGTTTTCTCCGCCCTTGTCTGGATGTAGGCTTGATCAGCTTCACTCCGTTTGCGCGGTTATCTATTTATGAGGTTAGATTCACCCTGGTGTTCGGACTCAGAGATGCAGCACGTTCTCTCTGTCCAAGAGGCTCTTCGTACGTTCGTGACCACTGAGCTAGGGGATTTGAGGAAAGCTGCTTTTGCTCTTGCGTCCGGCCATTTAAAGGAATCGCCTTTCAGTGAGGAATACCCTGGCCTGCATGTTACCGGACCCCGAACTCGCGTGTGAGCGTACGGCAGGTTAGCCTTTCTGATTACACTTGTTGCACCAGTCCCTGGTCATCTTGGGGGACCCTGACGCTTCAATTCTTGTTGATGGTGATTGCTCATTTGCCGAGGGGGTGCGCTTAGGTGACGAGTTCCCCATTGCACGCACGCTGGAGCAGTTCCGTCGTGATGAGCGTGCTGGGTTGATGCTGCCAACCACTGAGGCTGCGGTGGAAGCCGAGTTCGGCCCGGGCCGTCTTCTTGTGGCCGCAATGGGTGCAGTGTCAAAGCCCAGCGGCGAGATTAGACCACTTCACGGTGCAACGGACGGCGTAGGGCTCAACAATAAGATCCAAGTCTTGGACAAGTTGGAGGTGCCAAAGCCGGATGAATAGCTTGAGCTGGCTGCCCTTGGGAGGGACTCTCGCGAGGCAGTGTTCGCGATTTCCGCGGATATCTCCCAGGCGCACAGGCGCGTAAAGGTGCGCAGGGCCGATTGGCCGAAGCTGGGTTGTCGATCTACGTCGAATCTACGTCCTTTTGGTGGGCCCGCCTCTTCGGACTTGTTGGCCGTTGGGTCTTGAGGGTGATGCTCACTTTGTGGAACTTGCAGCTGGTTTACGTTGACGATTTACATCTCCTCACGGCTGGGCCTGACAAATTCTTGATTCTTTGGATGGTGCTTGCTGCGTACGAGGTTGTGGGAAC